CCTTTTGAGTCTCTGGATAAAATCGTATGCTATGACCTTTTAATGAAAGCTTTTGAGCAGTACTTTGCTGTGGTGCTGTTTATTGTTTTAAAGGTTAGCTCTAACAATTGGGTCAGTGGACAAAACCCTGAAATGTTTGGTCATTCTAATGAATCTTCTTCTGGGGTACGATTGCATGGTACTATTCTTTGTCCCTTTTTATACTAAACAAAATTTGAAACTTTTCTGAGTGGCAGACTTTGGTGTTCTGGGGGTACAAGGGTTAAGAGCTATTACCTACCGAAGAATTCAAAATTTTCTGCAAAGCTTCCTCGACTTCGCTCATGTTGTTTATGTTCACAGTTTGAACGAAGGGCTCGCCAACAAACACCTCAGCATAAGGATTTTGGGATGTAATCTGTTCATGCGAAAAAATAGTCTAAACTCAATTTCCAAAATGAATTGAGAACATGGAAGGAAGGTTGATTGGGTACGTTATCTTCATTACCATAAATTTAATTTGCGATTTTTTGATCGAATTCCTTCCAACATTATTGACCATTTAAGAAGTTATCTAAAAGACAATTGAAAACAATACTCACGTACCTCGGAAACTGTTTTCACAAGACACTTCTCGGTCCTGAATGAGCGATTTTCGTATGACCTTGAAATGAAAACGCGCAAACAAAACAGAAACAACGGAAGAACGGAAATAGAGCGATTTGATTGGTTTATCGAACGGATACAAACGCGCGTATCTTTTGGTTGGTTAAGCGAACGCTCGGGTGGAAAAACTTCATGCCCGAGAACTTTCTAGAAACTTGTCGATTGATACTTCCCTTTGACGTCATACTGCAACACGATTGGCCAATCAAACAATGCCTTCGCCATATTAGGGTTTTCTTTGGCGGAAAAACGAAGAGGCCATGTTTTGATCTTTTCATCCATTGGCTGTTAAAACAAATAACTAATACCTACCGAAACCATTTTTCAAGGTCATATGTAAATCGCCCTATCGCAAGAAATTCTTCTTCTCGTGTTTGACAAACTCCTAGGTGCATGTCTGGATCTCNTATTGTTTTAAAGGTTAGCTCTAACAATTGGGTCAGTGGACAAAACCCTGAAATGTTTGGTCATTCTAATGAATCTTCTTCTGGGGTACGATTGCATGGTACTATTCTTTGTCCCTTTTTATACTAAACAAAATTTGAAACTTTTCTGAGTGGCAGACTTTGGTGTTCTGGGGGTACAAGGGTTAAGAGCTATTACCTACCGAAGAATTCAAAATTTTCTGCAAAGCTTCCTCGACTTCGCTCATGTTGTTTATGTTCACAGTTTGAACGAAGGGCTCGCCAACAAACACCTCAGCATAAGGATTTTGGGATGTAATCTGTTCATGCGAAAAAATAGTCTAAACTCAATTTCCAAAATGAATTGAGAACATGGAAGGAAGGTTGATTGGGTACGTTATCTTCATTACCATAAATTTAATTTGCGATTTTTTGATCGAATTCCTTCCAACATTATTGACCATTTAAGAAGTTATCTAAAAGACAATTGAAAACAATACTCACGTACCTCGGAAACTGTTTTCACAAGACACTTCTCGGTCCTGAATGAGCGATTTTCGTATGACCTTGAAATGAAAACGCGCAAACAAAACAGAAACAACGGAAGAACGGAAATAGAGCGATTTGATTGGTTTATCGAACGGATACAAACGCGCGTATCTTTTGGTTGGTTAAGCGAACGCTCGGGTGGAAAAACTTCATGCCCGAGAACTTTCTAGAAACTTGTCGATTGATACTTCCCTTTGACGTCATACTGCAACACGATTGGCCAATCAAACAATGCCTTCGCCATATTAGGGTTTTCTTTGGCGGAAAAACGAAGAGGCCATGTTTTGATCTTTTCATCCATTGGCTGTTAAAACAAATAACTAATACCTACCGAAACCATTTTTCAAGGTCATATGTAAATCGCCCTATCGCAAGAAATTCTTCTTCTCGTGTTTGACAAACTCCTAGGTGCATGTCTGGATCTCGGATGGAACACTCCTTGTGTTTGATGTATTAGTTAGATCAGTATTTCGATATCGGAAACACTTCTCTTCGTGTTTGTTATATTACTTCCCAGTGTGTGGATATCACTGAGATATAATCACTTCTTCTCTCGTTTGATATATTACTTATTGATAGTTGAATACCCTTCTCCTGTTATTTCTCGGTGTTTGGATTTCAGATGAAACACTCCTTCTCGTGTTTGATATATTACTTATCGGTGTTTGGATATCAGATGAAACACTCCCTCTCGTATTTGATGTATTACTTCTCAGTGTTTGGATACCAGATGAAACACTCCTTCTCGTGTTGATATATCACTTATTGGTGTTTTGATATCGAATGAAACACTCCTCGATCGTGTTTGATATATTACTCCTCGTAATTCTACTTTGCCTTAATATCAGATGAAACACTTCTGTATTATTGGTTAATATGTTAGCTTAATCATTACCTTCCTATTCATGGGTTTGCCAGCGTAAAAGCCATGGTTTACTCGATCAAATGGTGGATCAAACTGAAAAAAAAAAAAAACTATAATTAATTAAAATATTGTACCAAACCTGTATCAAAACGTAATTGCATTTGGTTATTTATAGTTCGTTCAAGAGGAACAGACATTTTAGAGCCACCATATAACTCACGATTCAACGCACCTCGATCATTGTTCTATAGAGGGATGAACGAACATGTGAGCACAACAGCTACTTAACTACTCAGAACGACTGACAATCTAATTGTAAATGTACAAAATAAAATAACGTGTTGCTAATTTCCTAGCATACCTTTGGGTTAAGAAAGAAACATCCATTCGCCAAGGCTTCTAAGGCTGCTGGTCCTTCTAAAGGATCACCCAGACCAACAAAAACCTAAGGACCCAAAAAAACAATACTTTCCTGTTTGCTCGTACCAAAAGACCAGAGAAAGCTGATAATAATAATAATACTTATCATTTATATTGCGCAAATTAACATACAAATATGATAAAATGCGCATATTGTGGCCATATGGTGGACTCAACAAAATTACTCGCGTCTGATCGGACAAGAGATGCAGTTTTTGCTCACAACCAATAATTGTCACGCTATATCAATTCAATGACATCAGTTATGTCAAAAGTTGAGTCGCATCATACCAGAATTTTCCAAGCTAACACAAAAAAGTCTGAACACTTACCTTACTACTTTGAAAGAGATCCATGAGTGTAGAGATGTTGACGATTCCGTGATTTATTACAAAATCAGGCACGTCGAATTTACGTAGAACAGTCTCCTTTTGAAATAACCACATTGCAGTTAATGGCTACGGTATAATATAAAAATTGAACGTGTGATAAACATCTTAGGCACTGATTTCTTACGTTTTTGGAGCCGATGTTGGCGTGGACTTCCTGGACATGATTTCTGATCACTTCGATGTACAGTGATTTGCCCTAAACCAAAAAGACAAAATAAACCTCACTCGAGGACTTTTAAGCCCCGTGCAAACGGACGCAACATTGTTGGCCAACAACTCCCAACATTGTTGGACGTTACATGTTGCGTCCATTCGCACACCCTGTTACATGTTGTTGCGTGTTGTTGCGCAAAGTTTGAAACCGGTCAAACTTTTCAGCCAACAACTCCCCACATTTCTTTTGTTCCGTGATCGCCGAAGCGTTGCGCAACAATGTTGGATCCGTTTGCACAGCTCTTCCAACATTGTTGAGGCCGCGCACGCGCTTTACGCATGGTTTACAAAGACTTATGGGTTGTATCCTTCCCACGACGCACTGCAGGTCCCAGCATTGTTGGGAGTTGTTGCATCCGTTTGCACACCACTGCCAACACGCACGCAACAACTCCCAACATTGTTGGCGCAACAATGTTGGGAGTTGTTGCGTCCGTTTGCCGCAGCCTTAGCATCTACAACGGAAACGCCTGCGCTAACACTTTAACAATGTACTCGTACCTTCCAGAAATGCAGTAGTTTTCCATAGACTAGTGCACTGTTTCTGTTCTTGGGTTCTCTGGTTTTTCTGCGATGTTTCTTTGGAACAGCAAAGCCCAAGAACGAGTTATCGGGACTGTGAGCTGCCAAAAGAATCATTAAGAACATAAAACACTTGACTGCTAGGGTCTTTGTGGCAAGAGGGCTCATAATTTCTGTTTCGTTAGTCTTCTCCGTAGAAAAAGTTTCTACCGTAGTGTTAATTATCAAACCACATTAACCCGGGAGGCATGTTTCGATGCCAAAATCATTAATTCAAAAGTTTGAATTGAATTTAAATATTTGAAATGCTGAGGTCTTGAAATCAAAAGTTTGGAATGTCAAAGTCTTAAATTCAACATGAACACTTTGAAATACCAAAATTTTGAATTCAAGAGTTTGGTATTCCAAAGTATTGAATTCAAATGCTTGCAATGCTAAAGTCCTGAATTCAAATGTTTGGAAAGCCAAAGTCTTGAATTCAACACTTTGTAATACCAAAAGCTTGAAAAAAAGAGTTTGCTATCCCAAGTTTTGAATTCAAAATTTCAGAACGCCATTGTCTTAATTGAATTCATGACTGAGTTCAGAAATCCGCCCCCCTCCCCCGCCCCCGACCCAAAAAAAAGAAGGGAAAAAAAAGCTAATTGAATTCAACAATTTACGATTCCAGAGTTTTGAATTCAAGAGTTTCCAGTGTCAAAATCTTGAATTCTAAAGGTTGGAATTTTCAAGTCTTGAAGGCACTATAAAGTGTTTAGAATTGTAAAGTGTTGAATTCAAGAGTCTGGAATACAAAATCTTGAGCTCAAGATGAACACCAGGAATACATCGAGAATGCTAAGTTGGTAGGTTGCTGCTGTGGCCCGACCTTTGTTATGACAGGTTACTAGACAATTAGCAATCCTTTTCACCGCCGCCTGGTTAGCTCAGTTGGGAGAGCGCCGGTCTGCCGAGCGGGAGGTCGCGGGTTCAAACCCTGCTGGACCAACACTCAGGGTCTTTAAATAACTGAGGAGAAAGTGCTGTCTTTGTAATGAGATCTGCAAATGGTTACACTTTCTAGTCTTCTCGGATAAGGACGAAAAACCGTAGGTCCCGTCTCACAGCACTTTCACTGATTTGTTCTTGTGGGACGTAAAAGAACCCACATCACTATTCGAAAAGAGTAGGGATCGTAGACCCCGGTGGTCTTTACGGGTTGTGGGATTGGGTAGGGATGGCACCTCGCATGGGACCTGAGTCCCGTTCGTGCACATTCCCTCTGGGCAGGCCGGTGTCCGAAAAAAAAAAGAAACATATTTCAGGATCACATAGTTTCCTGAGTATGACAGTAATACAAGTCAATACTTTAAAATAATATTTCAAATGTACCTATTAGAAATAGAGCAGTCATTCTTGAAAAAGAAAGAAAGATTGGGATTATTATACGTTTCTGGGAAACTGCCACCTACCCCTCCCCTATGCCAACATTTTGCCCTAAGTGAGAAGTAAGTGTTAATGTTGGCTTAGGGGAGGGGTAGGTGGGCAGTTTCGCAGAAACGTATAATAATACAAAGATTGAACTTACGGAACATTGTCATGAATTGAGGAAGCAGAAGATTCACATCTCCCCATACCGATCTGCCGCCAGGAATACTTTCTTTGTAGTATGGATAGTTGAATTCCGCGTCCGTTCCAAACGAGTCCAAAATGCGCATCTTGCATCTAGTGGAAGACAAGAAACGTTACTAAACGTGCAGATGTCCTGTTAAGTGTATCTATGCTCCTTTACTGACTACCTTTCCCACTTCTGTTCCACACTTTCATTTCCTATAATCGCTTATTGCATTTGGTTAGTATCGGAGCTCTCTCCATTAGGAATGAAGTTCTTCTTAAAAGTTTATATTGTTAGCTGTACCTGTAACGCGAACTATGTGGTCCACTGAACAGCATAATTTTCTTAGCGCCTGGAATGTCGGTAAATATCAGATCCAAGCCGTCAGCAAGTTCTCTTAAAGCACAGCCATCTGAATCAGACTGGGTGATAATGCTGTTGATAAAGACATTTAACCACTATGATAATATCCATTAAATAAATCACTATTCAAAAAATAACGCAACTGGTTTCCTTGAAACGTTTTTACTGGACAATGATTTGTCCGGTGGATAGTGTCGAGAGGGGTACCCAGGAAAGTTTATGCGGGGAGGCCCCGCCCCGAGGTCCTCCACCTTACCCTTTTATACACCATTTTTGGCAGAAAAGGTACCCCTTCCGTATTCCTTCTATTCTGACAAATGGTACCCCTTTCACATACCTAGTTGAGAACTTGTATCCTGTATATGCATTGTCTTCAAAACACGAAGAAAATCACAGTACTAGGAAATCTTCTCGACTTTTTCACAGCCCTTTTAAGTCTTTTTACAGTTCGAAAGACTGATTTCCCGCTCTTTTATATACTTCAACCAGTGAAATGCCCACCCTTTGATACACCTGAGGCCTCAAAATGGTACCTTCCCTGGGCCGGAGCCTCCCTGTATAGGCCATTATAGGGAGTACCCCCACCGGGGGTGTTTTTCAGCATTTCAACACCTTCATACTGCAAGGGTATAGATAACTACTTCTCAAATTTCCATACAGTCAATTCCCTTTATAGAGGACACTGTAGGTAGGGACCTTGAATTAGTGTCCTCATTAGCGAGAGTCCGTAATAGCGGGAGTTTATTTCAGTCAAACATCTCTAATATATTTTTGGAGGGGATTTAGCTGCTGTCCATATTATCGGAGTGTCCGTTATGGCGGGGAGTCCGCAGGGCGAGAGTTGACTGTATTAACAAGAATTCTGTTTTAGTCTCTTTAATTTGACTCTGAAGATGACTACCGCACAGGTTGTCGAAACGTCAGTCATTGTCAACAGCAACAGTCCTATTCAGGACTACGTTCACCCGGACCATCAAACTCAACCAACTTTTGAAATGACTCCTGGGTACAAACCTTTCCCAAAAATTCTTATCTCTGTATGAATCCTTAGCGGTAAACTTCTACAAAGTGGTTTCCTGGATATCCCAGGAGTTTTTTGGGTGTCAGGAGGCATGATGCTTGATACAAAAATTCAAATGTGAAGAAAAGTTACCGATATAAAATGTGTGGCTTTCTTCGGTCTTAAAACTCCATTGCCTCTCTAAAGTATCGAGAACCTGTACAGTTTGGAACATTTTGAAATTGATTGTTGGCTTTTTTTTCTTAATTATGATATTGAGGACATGACAAAAACTTTGTGTTGAAGGACGATAACATAACCCTGAGAAAACAGCCGACCTTTCGAGATGTCACCACTGGTTTCCCGCGAAAGGAAGTGTGAGGAACGAGTGCAGAAATTCCATGCTGCACGCGTCACAACCCAGATCTGGGTAGTGCTCCTGATTGGTTGAAGCAAATTTCTCTCGGGGCCAGACCAATCAGAAGCACCACCCAGATATGAGAAGCAACACGTCATCAGTGTGGAATTTCTGCGCTCGTCCCTCAGACGTCATTTCGCCGGGAAAACCAGTGGTGGGGACGCGGCTGTTTTCTCAGTGTACGAAATAAACTTGGATGAACTTACTTTCGCAGGTCGTTGTAATCTGATGTAATTATCAAGTCATGCCCTAAAATATACAGAGCACTCATTAAATCACTCCACTGTGTAAGCTCCCCTAAACATCCACCAGTAAAGGCTTCAGTAAAGAACTTGAAGTTGTCTTCTATGCTTCCCATATAGAGAAGAATCTGGTAAAGGAAATCAAGACCTTTAGATTAGGGAGCTTAAACAAATGTTTTTTTTAACCGACGCACGTCGACCGGAAATGGACTTTTTGCTAACTTAGGCGGAGGTTTTGCCCAATGTTTCGGGTCAATGGTCTCTATAAGAATAAAGAAACTTAGTAATACAAACTGGGTAGTGTCAAGGCATATCATTATCGGTTGAGTTGGCTGAAAACGCCTTTGCTTAATGAGCTCCCCATTATTATACGAGAACGACTACGACGACGAGATTTTCTCAATACTAAGTAGTGCGCTCGTGAACCAACGTCATTTTGGCGGGAAAGTGTGATAGCCGTCGTCATTCTACTACAAGTTTTCGCAAGAATGTCGTTGTGGCGGAAAAATTTATCAAATGCTAGGAGTTTTATCATTTTGCGATCTTCCTTTTCGTTCAACTTAACCTCTCCTTAGAACAACCATCCAACTTACTTTCTTCTAATCAGCTGGCCCCCCCAAAAGAGCTTTTATCTACTTACCAATACCAATCACGTTGCTTCTTGATCTGCCTTGCTAAACTGCTGGAATTTCGTCCTTACAATTCGTTAGACCGATCAAACGGCTTGTTTCTAGCTCGCTAAGCCTTTCAAATGCCTTATTTTTAGATTTCAAAAAATTACCCACCTAGCCGTCCCCTCACCCAACGTTCTCACTTAGGGCAAAATGTTGGGCTAGGGGAGGGGTAGGTAGGCTGAGGTAATACGATTCTGGGAAATTGCTACCTACCCCTCCCCTAACCCTAACACTAACTCCTTACTTGGGGCAAAATGTTCTTTTAAGGGAGGGGTAGGTATGTACAGTTCTCAGAATCTTACTCTGATCTATGCATTCAGCAATATTCAAAGAAAACCCCAAATTCACCTTTTTCTTCGTTCTATTCTTCACATTCAGGGTCGCAGCAAGCTGTTCAGTGGCTTCTTTCCACTGCGGCCATGTTTCCGTTATTCGAATTCTCATCCAGGCGTAACGGTCGTCCTTTAATTTTTCTAATAACCCGGATACATCTGTGCAAATCACTGCCTGCAAGCCAAAGTCATGTGAACGATGATTTAATATTCTGCTGCAGAATTTGACACAAACAGGCAGCTGAACGAGAGAAGTACATTGGACTAGAACTATCCTTAGTCAGAACATCTTAGTAACGAATCCAGCAAAAAGATTTGTACATGTGTTCTTCTTACATTCAGTCTATTTACACAAAAGAAGCTTAACGTTTATAAAAGATTGAACACGTTGTCAAACACAATCCACAGGCTGAAGCTGAACCTGTTTGAAAAGCCTATACTTATTAACACCTGATCCAGAATCTTCCAACGATATCTAACAGTACTGCAAATATTTTTTTGTTTACCGCTCATATACCTGAATTATTGACATATGGATACAAACCTCTGTGTGGTTGGCAGGTGGTTTAAAGGGGTCAAAGTCACGTCTCCATGGTAACACTGGACACCAACCCTCGACCTACGCACAACCACAGCAATTGCAAATTAAAAGGTACTGGTAAGCATTAGCAAGCCCAGGTCTACTCTTAGGCGATTTCCTTTGACATAAACATTTTATTGGATTTATCATTACGGGCTCCGTTTACATGGAGGGAGTAAGATCCTAGACGGCGGATCAACTTTACGTTGGGTTTACATGCACAAAATTTGGCCCATGTGGTACCCAAATATAGAATGTTTGAGAAGGAATTAAAAATGGCGGACGACAAAAACAAACATACAATTTGGGTCCTTCTGTTCTCTTTACTGGCGGTAACAACTACCTTTCAGCAGAATCATCACAATAATCAGGTCGCGGTAACGCCAAAGAAATAGTCGGCCTTTATTGCTGTGATTAGCCACTGAACGACCCGCCGCTACTTTTGTCCGGTTTGTCCCTAGTCCTAGGATCTTCCGAGGGAAGGCAGTTTACATGGAGCAAGGATCTTCCTAGTACTAGGATCTTCCTACCTGTCAGCTAGGAAGATCCTAGTACTAGGAAGATCCCTGCTCCAGAAACAAGTACAACCCTTTGCATGTAAATCAAATACAGCAAACATATGGCGCTAGGATCATCCGCCTTCTAAGATCTTCCTCCCTCCCCTTATTCACCTTATTCTTATTTATTATTTAGCTAGCATTAGACGGCATGATTGCAATGGTGAGCAAATAAAGGTAAAAAACCATTTGAGTCCTGAGTGTCTCCTTTTATACAACCTTCTTTATCAAATAAACTGATGAAGATGATGGTGGTCGGGGTTGTGGTGGTGGTGATAATGTTGACGACGATGATGATAATGCTGATGATGATGATAATGATGGTGATGCTGATGATGCTGATGATGATGATAGTGGTGGTGATGATGATGATGATGGTGGTGGTGGTGACGACAAGAGCCGATTACTTGGTAATGATGATGATGATGATGATAGTGGTGGTGGTGGTGGTGGTGATGATGATAGTGGTGGTGGTGGTGGTGGTGATAATGATGATGATGATTGTGGTTGTGGTGGTGGTGATGATGATGATAATGATGATGATGATGATGACGAGGACGATGAGAAACTGATGCGAAGTAAACTCACCTCGCTGAGGTATTCAATTACAGAGCATAGGCTATTCGGCTGAACCTGGTGTTTCTCTCCATGGCACTTGGGATTCCACGATTCATTAAAAGACTTAAAAACAAAACAAACAACAAAAATAATTAAACAAACAAATATTTGCACTTATGCTATCACTTCAGCCGAAATAAATAAATTTTGCACTGTCTTCGGCCGCATTAAATTATCTGACGAACAAATCTCTTTTTTTTGGTTGTTATTTGTCGATATCAACTTGCGATTGTCTAATACTGGTAAAGTCACCAAATATTTATGGCTCAATTTTGTAGCATGTTCTTCATTGAGAAAATCTACGCAACGTTCCTGAAAAAAAGAGTTTATGAAAAAAAAAAATGGAATTAATTTATTCAGACGTCACTCTTGACCGAAGTCTAATTGAAGAAAATTGCGTTGTCATTTTAAGGCAAGCACATATATTGCGCCCCGGTAAAGACCTTATTGCTTATTCATATATTACACCACTAAAAAAAAACTTTGAAAGTGCCAGACTTTTTGTCTTTTATCGTTTTTTCACCGGCGAGACTTGAGATTACAAAGAAGGAAATGCCGCTCCAAATATCTTGGTCTCTAAAAAATTTTATTCGCATTTATAATTTTTATCTTTACTATCGAAACCGGTTGTTCTTATTCCGTAATGGTGTGTTGTTTTCCTGCCGGTAATTAAAGTAGCTTGTTTTGACGAGTTCAACATGACACCTGCTTTTTCATTTTTCGAAAGCGAAGGTTAGCGAAAATTGATGTTTTCAGTACTTAACGACACAGCTGACGATAACAGCCTTTACCAACGGATCCAGTTTATCTAAAAAATAATGGTGTTTTCTTTTCCTGCACTCATGAAAATACAGTAGCCTGTTTTTAGTCTATCTAAAGCGAACATTATAGAACTGCACCTGGTTTATAATTCAATTTTGGAATACCTACTGATTGGACAAAGCAGAAAATAAATTGATTAGAATTATAATATATTATTGCTCATAGACGATGACCTCACACGAGCTGTCAATCTATTTAAACACAACCAGCACTTTAGCTCGAACCACCTGCAGAACGAAAACTTTAAGTTGCCTTCAACAACTGAAGGTAATCTTTGAGAGCCACTAACAATTTTTGATTCTTAAGTCCGGGAATGATGTGATGAGGCATGCGGTATACTTGAACTCCTACTGCAAACTGTGAGGACTATCAAGCCAATATGTGTAATACGCATGTCACAAATTGAGAAAGCTAAGAAAGTGCGCAGGTCACACAGGACTCAATACAATACTTAGGCACATAGCAAGAGCAGGACTCAGTGCGCTTGATCTAGAGTTGGGATACAAAATTCATGGACTTCAAACTATTAATGTGACACCACGTCAACATCTCTGAGCGAAATGGACGCCCTTTTGGTGATAAATATTGTTGTTAATGTTCCACTGATGGTCGTAGCAGTCATCGGCAATACGTTAGTGCTGTCCGCTATATTTAGGACACCTTCAATTCATTCATCGTCTTCAATCTTCTTGTGCAGTCTCGCTGTTTCGGATCTTCTTGTCGGGCTGGCTGTGCAGCCAGTTTATATCGCCCACGAGCTAAAGCCTGATCCTGGCTTGCGCAAGACAGCCAATATACTTTTCAACATGGGTTGTGTTGTTTCGCTCTGCACAATGACAGCAATAAGCATAGACCGATTTATGGCGCTTCATTACCATATGCGGTATCCAAATTTAATGACCAACAAATGTGCAATACGAACTACAGTAACTCTATGGCTGTTTGTCATCGCTTCATCGTTTTTAATGCTGTGGCGTACACTTCCTATAGTTCTCGCTGTTGGCATCTTTGCATGCCTTTTAATATCCGCTTTCTTTTACACCAGGATTTATTCCATAGTTCGCCATCATCAGTCAGCGATTCACCTTCAGCAACAAGCTGTACAAAGTATGAACACCGTGCAAAGTATAAACATAGCGCGATCGAAGAAAAGTGCAATGAACAATTTCATATATTTCATCTGTCTGGTTCTCTGTTATTCGCCAATGTTCACTTCAATGATAATTTACACCATTGACCCAACACTCAGTTCAAAATTGTGAACTGTTGCAAATACTGTAGTGTTCTTGAACTCGTCTATAAACCCAATTTTTGTATTGCTGGCGTTTAAAGGAGCTTCGAAAGGCAGTTTTAAAACAGGGCAAAAGTTGTTACGTAAGCAAACAGAGGAGAGACAAGAAAATGAGCTTAAGGCATGTTAGATGCTTCATTTGTTAAAGTTTTTTGTCAATGCCTACAGTCTAAAATCTACAGCTATGTTCGCCTCATTTGCGCGTTTTACACTAGCGTGCAAAAGCCACACGTTTTTATCGTGGGCTGTGACCAACAGTCAAGACAAAACATATCTCAAAAACTATGCAAATACTCGATAATTCTTAAACCATATTTGATTCCTACACACTTTGATTTCAATCATACACAAAGGATTTCTATAGACGAAGCTATATTTCATGCCATCATATACATAATTATCCTCTTTGGAAACCACCTTTAGCTCGCATTGTAGTCTGCGTTTCTACCGGCGGTCGTGTAAGCGTATGGCCCACCATGCCTACTGTAAACTCTAACAAAAAAAAGAAACTCAACAATTTTACAGCAAACTGATGTAAATTGTTAATTCACTCCGACAAAGCGGCCATTTGGAACGTGACCCATATGACATCATTTGTGGCGCCATGTGACGTCATACTGTTACGTGAACAATTGTAGAGTATTAGACGGGGTCAACCGTATATTGGTGTCACTGTTGGCACTTTAACGACAACACAAAAATCCAAGATGGCGGTCATTTAAATCATGACGTAACTCGTACCTCGTGTAACGTCACTGGTCAACATTAGTTTAAGTATTTTTCAGTAAAGCAAAAACCTCTGTAAATTTCATTATCAGAATGTTATTGAGACTACAGAATCCTCCAGTCCCACCCCAGAAGTAGGTTTGTGTGATCTGAGACCGACTATCCAATAGAAAGAAACGGTCGACCTTTCCCATGACGCGGAACTACTGACGAACATTTTTGAAAATGCCGGAAGGCAAGTGTCTGTCGAACCAAACCGACCGGACAGATGAGAAGTCTTAATTGGTACATACCGCTCCATCCTTGTATCGACCGAAATCTCTGAAGCTTTGGGTATATAATGTCCAGCATCAGAGGCTATATGTCTGTATGTGGTTAATCCGGCGGACTAAAGTTTGTATACAGTTGTATTAAATAGCGTGATTTCACCTGTAGGTACCGTTGACTCCCGATAACTCGAGCCCTCGCTAACTCGAACCGAAGTCGATTTCCCTTGGATTTCCTTAATACATTTACTGTAATTTTATCCTTCGTAACTCGAACCCTTAATAACTCGAACTTCTCGCTAACTCAAAGTAATTTTTGTTTCCCTTTAGACAATTTTTATGTAATTGTACCCTCGATAACTCGAACCATGTTTACAGCCCGTGGAAATCGGGGGGAAAAAACAGTGTACTGAAGTCCGAAACATTGAATTTAATTATAAACACATGATAAACAACAGAGTCAATTTTTTTCTTTTAGTTTCTCGTCAGTCCAAAAAAAATTCATTGTCCATCCCTGTATATTAATCACGGTTTATTGCTCAATTTCTTTTTCAAAATATCAATCTATATCCCTTGATGCTCTTGAAGTAACGTGTGCATGATCCTTGCATTTCCTCCCCATTCATTTGCTTGGTTTTTTTTTATCTCCGGTCATTTGCTTCCAACTCCCGATAACTCGAACTTTGTTCAATTTCCCTTGAAGGTTCGAGTTGTCGGGAGTCGGCTGTGTTTCTGTAGGTATTGTTATTCCCTAGTGGCGAGCGGGATGTGATGGGAAGGAAGAAAGATTCCCATCACCCCTGCTCCAAGAGGGTCTCAATGGGGTGGTGGCTTTTACGGTTATCGGCTAAAATTTTGGCTCTTTTACGGCTATCGGTTAATTTTTTTCAGTTACGGTTAACGAAAAAGTTAAAAATTAACTTCTTTTGTTTAAAAAAGTTAAATATTAATTAACCTGTATTTTTTGAGTAAAGGTCTTCGGATCATCTCGGGATCATGAAATAAGCTCTTCTTTTGAAAATTTTAACATTTGGTAGATCATACTTTTTATAAAGTATTCCACTTTTAATATTATTTTACACATAGAAATGTCAATAGTCAATTTAAAAATAATCTTTGTGAAAAAGCAAAAGCAG